TCACTGTATTGGTTGAGTAAGTGCCTAAGGTGCAGGAGCACCTCCACTGGCCCTAAAAATACTCAAATGGGGTCTAGGTCTTATTGGTACATGACATGGGTGCCATGTCTGGGGATGGGGCTACTTAAATTTTATTTTTAGAGATAAAATAATGAAAATATATTAAGAAATACACAGACATAAATGAAACAATATAAAAACAATACAGAATTTCTGACAAGATGAAGAGAAATTAACAATGATTGTTGTATTACATACTGTTATCTTCATATTGGTTACTCAGATAAACAAATATAGACATATAAGAAGGATCAAACAATTAAATATCAACTGTTCCTTTTAAGAAAGCAATAAAATTAATAGTACAATTATCCTGACCATCTTTCTTCTCTATTTTCTCCTTTCCCTCACCCCAGTTGTTCTTTCCTTTCTAGCAGTTTCTTTCCCTTTCACACTATCTATTGTACCTTTTAGATTTCATTTACTCTTTTATGTTCTTATGCTAGGGAGATAGTATGATTTCTACATATGTGAGTCTTATTTATTTCCCTTATGAGTATGGTCTTTGGTGGCATCTATTTACCTATAAAAGCTTCTAATGCTGGAGGGGCTGTGGGGAAAAAGGAACCCTTCTCCACTGTTGGTGGTAGTGTAGACTGGTGCAACCACTGTGGAACTCAGTCTGGAGATTCCTCAGTAAGCTAGAATTAGAGGTCCTATTCAACCCAGCTATTCCTCTCCTGGGCATTTTTCCAGAAGAACTAAAAACATCATGCCACAATGAGATATGTGCACCCATGTTTATAGCAGCACAATTTGAAATAGCTAAATCGTGGAAACCCAAACGCCCATCATTCCAAGAATGGATAAAAAAGTACTATTTTTATACAAAGGAATATTACTCAGCTAAAAATGAAGAGTTGTTTTACTGGGTATAGAATCTCAGTTGACACTTGCAACACTTTTAATGTCCCTCTGCTTCTAACCTTTATGGTTTCTGATGAGAAATTGGCTGTTATTAACTTCATTGGGTGTCTCTTATATGTGATGAATCATTTTGCTCTTGGATATTTTCAATATTATTTCTATCTTTCAACAATTTAATTATGTTACATCTTGGTGTGAATTTCTGAGTTTATTTTATATTTATATATCAATCCTTTGGGGTGTGTAGATTACTTTATTTTACAAAATTTTGGGAGTTTATTACCACTCTTTTTATTTCCACTAATTTTTTGACACTTTCTTCTCACCTTCCCATACTACTAATATTCATATGTCATTATTTACAGGTCGCTTAGATTCTGTCCGTCATTCCTCATTCTTCTTTCCACATGTTCCTCATACTGAGTAATCTTTATGGACCTTCAACTTCGCTGACTTTTTGCCCACAGCTAACTTTGCTGCTGAGCCATGTTAATAGAGTTTTGATTCCAGTAACATTATTCTCAGCTCCAGAATTTGCATGTTTACAATGCTTTTATATTACATTGATATTTGATGAGATATTATCATTATGGTTCATTTCATTCTTTAGGGAAGATTTCTTTCTGTTCTTTGAACACACTTAAAGCATATTATTTAAAGCCTTTTGTAAGTCCAATGTTCAGTTTTCCTTATGGATATTTCTGTTGATTGCTTCTTTTCCTGTTTTTGGAATATACTTTCTTATCTCTTTGCCTGTCTATTTTTTTATAGAAAACCAGACAGTTTGAATAATATAATATAGCAACTCTGGAATTCAGATTCTTCTTGTACTCCATATGGTGGTGGTTATTGTTTTTTGTTTGCTTTCTTAGTGTCATTTTTTCTGAATGAATCCTAAATTGTCTTTTTATGCATGGACACTGTAGTTTTTTTATTCTTAGCTTATTAGATAAGCAATAATTAATGATCAGACAGAGATCTTTCTCTCTCTCCCTCTTTCTTTTTCTTTCTTTCTTTCTTTCTTTCTTTCTTTCTTTCTTTCCTTCTTTCTCTTTCTTTCTTTTTCTTTCTTTCTTTCTTTCTTTCTTTCTTTCTTTCTTTCTTTCTTTCTTTCCTTCTTTCTCTTTCTTTCTTTCCTTCTTTCTTTTTCTTTTTTTCTCTCTTTCTTTTGGTACCAGGAATGGAACTCAGAACCTTGCACTTGCCAGGCAGGTGCTATGCCTCAGAGCTATATCCTCTGCCAGAGATTTTTCTTAAGTGCTTAGAATAAATGTCTCTCGGTCTTGATGAAGGGTTCTGTGTGGATTGAGCCACCTCTTCAACACTCTGCCAGGCAGTCAAGATCTTCCCCTCTTAGAATCTCAAGGTCGGTCCATGATCATAACTCAGGGCCTCTTCAGTGATAGCTTAGGCCTATTCTAAGAATGTGCACACACCTGAGCATGTGCACAATGCTGTGTACTACAAAGTGATACAGATTCCCAAAAATATATTGCAGCTTTTTAGTGGCCCTGTGGACATCTAACTCTCAAGCCTTCATTCTAAGCATGCTGTTAGCCTATTGTTTGACCCTATTATTATTTACCTCATATATACATGAAGTTAATTTGTTGTTTCTAATTGTTTTTGAAAAATAATCCCAGGACAAGGGAAAAACAGGCAGTCTCAAATATGGGGAGAGGTCGTGCAGAGATTATTTCATTGGCCAGATAATGACAATGGTATGTGAATCTTTGAGGGACTCCAACACACTCTACCTCCAACCAGGGTGTAGGTTTTCAAGTCTACTTCATAGCAAGTTGTGGGTTTTCAAGTCTAATTGACAGTGGGAAAATCAGAATGGAACATGTTAATGTGCTAGAAAGCTTGCTTTTCTTACTGAGATTTAGTTTGTTTTCTTAAGTAAATATGACCTGACTGCTGCAAACTTTTTGGTAAATTCACAGAGTTCTGAAGGTGGACTGACAATTTTTGCTAATTTTCTCATTGAGTGAACCAATGTCTGTTGTACTATTTCATACAACTCTGGCTTCTGTATGTTAAGAAATCATAATGGCAGTAGAGTATACATATACATAAAGGTAGAGTTTTTTAGTCTTAAGAGACAAAGGATTCAAAATGAAAGTTTATCTGTTCTTTGTGTTTTTGTTTTGTTTTGTTTTTCTTCTGGTACTAGGAATCAAACTCATCACCTTGCACTTGTCAGGCAGGTGCTGTGCCACTGAGCTAAATCCCCAGCCCCAGTTTATCTGCTCTTAATGAATTTATGAAAGTTATTTTCTCAATGGGAAATAGAGGCTGAACACATAAATAGATAACATAAAATCAACATATTAAAATTAACTACCTTTTGGTTTCATTTTTTGACGAAAACTGAGCAATAGTAGGGGATTAAAAGTTATAAAATCCTTCTTAATTAAGTGTAAAATATGGCCAAAATGAGGTTTAAAAGGATTCAGTGCTGTTCAAACATTTGTTCTTCATGTTATAACAGATTCAGAGACTGGACTTTGCTATATTGTTCCATTCAGAAACTGACTAGCAGTATGAACAAACATCTGTTTAAAAACATCTTTTGCCATTAGCAGTCTAGGGTTTTATGGGCTATAAAGTGAATAAAAATCTAGGATGTCTTTTCTTACTAACTAAAAGTATATATCAAATCCTACCTCTTTCAGAGGAATCCCAGGCCCCTGCCAAAATTTGGCTTCTCTTGTGACCATAGAAACCTGTGAAGTGTGAAGCCTGACTCTATAAGGTATCCAAGTTAAACAAGATAAAAGACAGATGACAGGAGTCAGGAAGATAAGCTTCATGGAGATGGGAAGGGGTCTGGTAACCAGGGTGAGGAGGAGGGAAAGAGAAGGAGAAATGAAAGGGTCAAAACTCAATGTGTTCAATATGTACCAATTCACTATAAGAGAACTATTTTATATATTGCAAACATATACTTTAAAAAACAAAACTAAGAATAAAAACAAAAAAAAAAGAAATCTGTGAATTCAGATGGCAAAAATTTTAAAATAAAAAATAAATAGAAAATCCAAGTTGATTTTGGTGGTTAGAAATGGACTTTGTCCTTTTTATTTAATTTTGTCTGTTTGATTTCTTGTTTTCTATTTTGTATGTGTGTATGTACCTATGTATGTATCTTGAGAAGGAGAAAAAGAACACTAGAGAGTTTGAAGTTTTTGTTGTTGTTGTTGAAACAATCAGTTCCTTCAAATTGGAGTTCCAAAATAAACTGACCCTGAGGTCAGGGTGAAACTGTAATGGGGAATTTAGTTAAATTATAGGATGCTCAGGGTGTAAATGGTTGAAATGATTTGTTAAGAAGTAAGGCAGCGGGGCTGGGGATTTAGCTCAGCGGCAAAGCGTCTGCCTGGCAATCGCAAGGTCGTGAGTTCGGTTCCCGGTACCGGAGAAAAACCAAAAAAAAAAAAAAAAGAAGTAAGGCAGTGGAGTTCCCCGCATTCCCTCATACGGCTGCCTGTTTTCAGAGACCTGGCATTCTTGAAACCAGAAGAAGGCCAGGGTCAGAGAAGGTAAGTAGAAATGAAGATGTGAAAGATGTCTAAGGAGGCCAAAAAGCAGCATTTTAAACTTTATTCCCACTTTATTTAAGTTAATGTGGAATGATATGGCTCTGAACATTCCATTACCTTCCAATAAAATTGTCTTTCTCAGAAAAAACGTTGTGTGTGCATTCTTCCTATTGAAAAATACTTTTTAAATAACTTAGGGAAAAAATCTTAACAGAGAAACACTAATAAAAATGAGAACATAATCATTTTCATTTGGGCTGAACTGAATTAATTTGCAAACTTTAAATGCAGGAATTTTTTTCATATAAAAATACACATTTTAAGTTTGCTTTAAATGTGGGTGACCTGGCCACATGGGTTTTCTTTACTTAAAGCAACTAGTGGGCTGAGGAGCTGCTCAGAGACCATGTGCTCTCCAGATTTCAACAATCCTTACTCCTTCACAGAAACTTCCTGCTCCCTCTGGAGGCACTGAAATTTACAACTTCTGCTCAAGGTTTAAAAATAAAAATCCTGTCTTTATTATAGGTGGTTTTGAGAATACCTCTTCCCAAGTTGGGTGAAGAGTGAAAAAGAAGAACTCTGCACCTCTGATGTTCATCCCATGAAGATGGTAAGCTATGAAATATTAACTTTATCTCTCTGGGCCATGTGAAGAATGTGGGAATCCCAGATACATAGCTCAACAGAAAGAGAGGACAAAGAAAGAAGGAAGAGAAGTGGGAAGCCAGGAGTTGGGAGGCATGAGAATTTCAGAGTTGACCTTGAGTGGCTGCTGAGGGTTATTTTTTTAAAAATATTTTCAAGTTAAGACTTAGGAGAGTAGGAGATTTACCAAAAGTTGTTGACTAGAGATTTACCAAAAGTTGTTGACTAGAAGTGCGGAGTTCGTAAAGCAGATTAACGGAGGGAAATTTCTATAATGGGGTGAGCATTCCTTATTGGAAATTTTTATAATTTAGGGATAAGGCAATCATATCCTTATCTGAGGATAGAATTGGGATGCAGAAGGAAAAAAGGGAACCTTGAAGGAAATAATTTGTACTTCTGAAAAAGAATATTTTTCTTTTTCCTTTTCCCGTTTTCATTCCCCTCCCTTCCCCTTCCCTCCTTTTTGCTCTCTTCTTTCATTCTCTCTCCCTCTCCCTTCCTCTCTTCCTTCCAGTCTCTCTCCCTTCCCTCCTTACAACTCCTCTCTCTCAATGTGGCAAGCACACGCCATCCTGGCAATATACTTATGCACAACTGACTGTAAAATGAGGTAATGTGTAATACTATGCTAGAAGTTGACATTACAGCAGGGAAGGGCCCAGAGTCCACTGAGGAGAGGTCATATTATGTCAATAAAGGAAGGAAGCTGATATCAGAAAGTATTTGTGTCTGGTTACTTTTACCTCATTGCTGAGACAAAATACCAGATGCCTAAAATTAAAGAAGGAAAGGTTTGCTTAGCTCACCGTTTGTGGAGGTTTCAGTCCATAATCAGCTGGCTCCAAAGCAGCCTGGCATGACTGAAGGGCAACCATTCATGGTTGTGGAAGACAGAAAAAATGCCACGAGCAAAAAGAGGGGAGGAGGAAGCCTCTTTCCCTCCTTTATGTTGTATGCAGGCTACCCACACTTGGGTGGGTGTAGCACTCAGAACCCTAATCCCAGCACTAGACAATGAGCCCAGTCACAAACTCTAGATTCAGTCATCTCTGCAGAGCCCACCCCCCATGATGATACGAGGTTTTGGATGGACAAACCATAACACTTTGGACCACACTACATTCTGTAACTTACTAGCTAAGTAGATTTGAACATGTTATCTCTAAATCCTACTTAGCTGTTAACTTGGAGCATCAGTATTTACTGGGTATTCACTCAAGTACATGATGTGTATTAGAATAGCTGATACAAAAGCTTTCAGAAAAAAAATTTTCCTCTTTTTATTGATGAAATAATGGAGGCAGCTGTTGTGTCTCCTTTTCCCATGACATGTTGCTGCTCTAATGTACATTTTACTGTTATTTAGTTATGGTGCAACCCAAAAATTGGGGTTGGGAGTGTGTTACACTCACAGTTCTCAAAGGAGGAGTCATGTTCCCCCATAGAGCCTACACAGGGATCAGTCAAGAGACAGAGACAGGGAAAGGTGGGCCATTGTGGCTTCTGCAAGAAGGAATGGATGACGTGGGATAAATCAGTTTCAGATTATCTAGTTCGAGTGATTTTCGGAAGCTATGGGCACACAGCTCCCCTCTACTTGTCTGGTTTCTAGCCTGGAGGTGGTCTGAGCCAGGGGATGGGGTTCTGGATTAGAAACTCCATAAAGAGGGTTGTTTGTATTTTAAGAGCAGTTCCATATGTATTTACCATCTCTTTGAAGGGTTGATATGGGAAGGAGCAGTCCTTCCAGGGTCCACAAGGACCCTTATATCAAAGCAGCAGAATACAGAAAATGAAAGAAGTGGTCAATAGAGTAGCTTTTAAGTGTTGACGCTGGGACTTGATATTGGTTCCTTAATCCAAACCCAACACCTTAACATGCTGTAGTAGGAAAAATGCAGAGGTCTAGAGGAAGGAGTCTGAGATGGCTAGAGGACCTACAGATGGAATCCAGTTTATGAATTCATAAAATGTAGTCAAGTTAGTTTACTGAGTGAGATCACCCTATGTCTCTTTGTACACTGAAGCTTCATCATCCTGAAGTGTCATTAGCTTTCTTGACAGACTGACAAAAATAGCAGTACAAAGAAGTACTACAGTGGGACCAGGAGAGAATCATCAAAGGAAAATGGCCATGGCCATGACTTTTTGGAAACATTGCTTCTTTTTATTTTAGAAGGTATTTCCAGAATCACTAATACAATGAAAGCCCATGAACTGAGGCTTTCTTTGGACTTATTTTTATCAAAGACCCTTGCAATGAAGGGAAGTTTCTCACCTTAACTGTTTCTCCTGAAGACCTCAGGCCTAGTGGAAATTAGTGAGGTAAATCAGTGAGGAAATGGGCAAGAGAGGAGGGATGGTGGTGCCATTTTGACTGTGCTCCCTGACCGTGCTTTATTCCCCCTTATCTCCACACTATTTCCCTGGACACAGCAGCTGTCTGGTCCAGTTCATTGCATCTCATAGCCAGATGTGAAAAGAGGAGCAGGAGGCAGAGCGAGGAGTGCGACTGCTAATGATTTTCTGAATTTGGGGAAGATCACGCAAAGTTATTTTGTAGAGAAAAAGGAATTGAAGGAGAACCTGTTTTTCATTTAGTCAACAAATTAATTGTCTCTTTACACACATGTAGCTCTGAATTATTTACCAATGCATGACATTCTTGAGATTGCACAAGTTCTTTTTAAAGAATACACTTTATTTTCAGACACAGTTGAAGAAGTCAATTAAAATCATTTTTGGTTATGAAAACAAATTCCATTTTATTTATTTGTGATAGCTCAGTGGTTTGCAGTATGTGAGGATACACTTTAGGTAAGTTTAGTTAAAAGAGATTTTATAGACAAGGTGAACCTTAATATGTTGCCAATTTATTTCATGGAATAGCAGTTTATGTGGATTTTATGGGCACAAAAATATAGTTAATCATTTTAAAACAAATTACTGGTTTCCTTAAAGAACATCTTTCTCTAGAAAATAGAGAAGACTTAGAATTAAGACTGTGGGAAAATGAATGTTTACCTTAATGTGGTAAAACTGGCTTTGAGAATGGAAATGTCAGCATCCTTCTAAATGTATCCTGCCAAGAAAATTGACAAAAACTGCCCAAATTGCAAACATTAAGTATAAGTATTAGAGTCAATACAGTACATTCTTCTTCCTTTCTATGTTTTATTTAAAGATTTTTAATATGAAAAGAAGATATATGAGTACAGATTACATTATGGTGACTAAGACAGTATTCTTCACAACAAAAATCAAAATAAGACAAATTTATAAAGTAAATGTGCCCTCACTGAATAAGTATAACCCTTGATATTTAATCCAAGCTGCATACTCATAAAATGCTCTGACTACAGGATTATGCAAAATAAATTATTTCCTAGAACACTGAAATGCCAGCTGTTCTGATTGCCTCATTCTTCTGGTGAGTATTTTGAGAGAACTTCTGTATAATACAAAAAGAACTGGTATGATACCTAAGACTACAAAAAATAGAACAGAGTTAAAAACATATTTCTAGTAGAATTCTGCATAAAATATACACAGTAAATCTTACTACTTAAAACAAAAGACCACCCTGAATATAGATTAAAACTTCATTAAAGAAAAATGCTCATTATTTATGTATCATTGGTAGAAAACTGATAAGATTTTGGTGGAGGGAATAGGGAAGACATCTAATGAAGTCATTCATTTAAAATCTATTCAGAAATGTTCATGAGGTTGTAATTGGCTGCTTATACCATCTTAAAATATTTTAGCATAAATATAATTTCTACAGTTTCTCCAAATAATGTTCAAAGGCCCAAAAGAATTCTGATGTGGGGCCAGTAATAAACATTATAAATAAATTCCCTATGTCATATTCTACATACTCAAATGCCTGTGGGAAATACCAACACTTAAAAGAAAGATCATGAATATAAACATATTTCTGGCCGATCACATACTCTATAGGTTTATGATGTGAATGCTGGTTTTTATTTTAAAACAAATCCCGGGAATTAAGAGAAACAGGTATACCTCTCAAATAAACATGTGAATGTATATAAATATTTTCATTTGAGGTTTTTATTACTTTTAAAGAAAAAAATAGCATGTTATTTAAATTTCTTTAGTTATTTAAAGAAAAGATAACATGACTACAAGCTTAGGAAAAGTTCCATTTCTAATGAAATTGAACATCCAAAAAAGGTAAAAAGATAATTAAGTGCCTTTAAATCATTCTAAATTTAAAACTAGGTAGCTTTCCTAAAATTAAATTTTACTAAGATTACACCATTCTAACTTACTTAGACAGTCGTGTTACTTGTCAACTCCTTTGCATAAAAATGGTGATAAAATAAATAGAAGAATGCTATATCTGCAACTATTTAAATAAATTGCAAACCACTAATTTTAATAAGAATAGTCTGAAGAACTCTGCCCCTAAAATAAATTCTACTGTCTATTTTATGTGTTACCCTACTAAAGAAAAAAGAAACTTAATTAAGGAGACAGAGCTATAACATACGAGTTTTCTGTAGATTTATTTAAAATTGTTAATACTTTTTGGATTTCCCTGAAGACTACATGTAATGGAGTCTAAAAGTACAGGTGATATGGTTTGGAAAGAAACAAATGTAGTTAAGACATTCTACTTAAAATATAAATTATTTTCCTGCAAAGCAAACAAAAAGAAAAAATACATTCTGTCTCCACTTAATAAGTGGAAGGATGTGTTTACAAGTTCAGTTGACAATTACATACTTCTTTGTTAAGTCAAATCACAAAAAGTAACTCTAGCTACAAAAAAAAAACCCCTCAACAGCTTCCATTATAAAGTATAAGGATCATGTATTACATCTAAATATAACTTCAAAAAAGAAATTAAAATTAGCTTCCAGAAGATTATGGAATGGTGAATCTATCCAGGCTGGTAACACATTTTTCCATATATTAAATGTCAACATAAGCAAATTGCATAGTTGAGAAATGAGCATCAGACACACTCTTCTTCATACATTGAGAGTTGATTAATATACTCAAAACATGCAAATTAATATTGATCAATGTTCCTCACAATGCCACTATCATCCAGAGTAAGCTGGACAGATTTATTAGTAAACTTAAACATTAGATCTCCTTCATGTACATAATCTAGAGCAAAAAAAATCTGCTTTCTGTCTGAAAGCAAGAATGCAGTCCAACAGGAAAAGGATGATTAGATGCCTTCTCCAGAACATACTTTGCTACCCAGTCAATGTTGGCAAGCTCTTTTTTTTCACAACTTTCATTGCATAAATATGATTTTCAAAAAACTGAACCAACAATACTTTTGCATGGCTTCCTCTTCCTATTACCCAGAGCAACTCCAAGTCCTGAAGACCTAAACTGGATGAAGCTCTGCCATTTTCCCTGTGTTCACTGCCTCCTTTCCTTCAACTTGTTTCAAACCCTCATGACGCTAAGAGTTATGTGGGATTACTGTCTGTGCAAGGTTCGAAGCCATGGATGTTTTATGCATTGGCACGGTGGGTTCCAGTGGCAAAGAACGGTGCCCACATTCAACTGTGACAAGAGTGTGGCACTTCTTATGAACCACTTCTTATAGCTGATGCACTTAAATATCTAGCATCCAAGTCCTCCTTTATGGTCTGAGCCAATAGCACAATGAGGATGCCTGCTGAAATGTTTGGCTTGAAAAGTAT